TAAAATATGTATACAAGTGTTTAAGATTAATTATGTTAGCAAGGCCCCTTTCTTTACCCTCTTAAGTGCACATCAGAGTTCAGTTCAGATCAGGTTGATATGTACCCCCCTGCTGGCGCTATAACTGAAATCCTGATTTGTCCACTTTGCTGTTTTGTTATCTCCGCTGTAGTAATTAAAAATTGCAACAAATGATGAAAGTCCAGAAAATGTGACTTTGAAACCGTAGCACTTAGCAAGGCTTTTAGGGGGATTTGTCCCTTTGGCTTGTGGGTAATGCCCAGGCTGAGGCCCTTAATGGGTGTGAGAGAGTGAGAGGAGACTCAGGAGGCCCGAGTAACTGAGAAAAACAACATCCCTTTAAACTGCTCGTAAAGGATCATACAACAGGAAAACAAGGAGATTTCTTTATGAAACCAGAGGCTTTCCTTCAAAAGTCAACAGGCACTGAAGTTTTCTCTCATGATAATTACTTTATTTCCATGTTATATATATTATTTAGATTTCCTTTTTGTGTACTTTTAGGTAGAGATGACATACAGTGACATGCAGAGTGGGGTCGTGTTGTTTTACTAGATTTTGGACAATACTGCCAAATGCAGTTCTCTTCCTCACCAGTACACTTCTAGTACCTTGCTAGTGTGATAGAGAGTCCTCAAGAGTGCTGTTCTCCTGATATGCTTCTTATAAAGTATCTCTTACTACTACTGTATCTCCATTTTCTTGGCACAGCAACAATGCAACCAGTTTTAGAAGCAGATTTCTACAGTCTTTTCTTAAAATGTCCAGAAACCCTCCCTTTCTATTGCTCATTTATTATTCTGTCTGTTAAGCTGACACATCTGATACACACTTATTGTACAATAGCGTATAATATTTGAGCAGTAACACATGTAGGCGTGCAATGTATTCCTGCAGACGGTGAGCTTGCAGAGCAATGAAAATATCTGAAGGACAAATATTTATTTAAAGTTTATCATTGTTAATGACGCACAGAAATACATAATATTTACTTTTATTCCGGGTTTGAATTCATCCAATTCAGGGTTTGTGAGGGAGCCAGAGCCTATCTCAGGTAGTAATGGGTGCACACAGACACATATACTGTAAGCCCAAACTCGCACCGGGTCAAGTTTTCCCAGAAGTTAATAAACCTACTGGTATGGCTGTGGACTGCAGAAGGAAATCAAAGAACCCAGGAGGACCCCCACATGTACACAAGGAGAATGTACAAACTCCACACAGATAGCACCCCAACTCTGGAACTGAACCCAGGGCCCCAGCACTTTGAGTCAGCAATGCCAACCTCTGTTGCCACTATGCCACCCTGTTCACTACCGTTATAACTATAAGTACCTGGTCCAGCTTTTTACAAAACCAGGAAGCAGATCTCAACCCTGCAGACACAATGGAGGACAAAATCATTTTCAATTGGTCAATTATTCACCATAACTTGTATCCATACCCTTCCAATTTAAAATCATGCGTTCAAATGACAACAGCTCAGACAACAGCTCAGAGGAGCAAAAAATAAAAATGAAAGAACGAGAGACACCCTGAGCTGCTATTAACAGGGAAAGTTCACTCATCTAAGTAAGTACAGTATGTATGTGTGTTGCTTGTACATGTAAGTAATGTGTACAATGTGTTTAATGAGGGATGAATGTATTGACTTTTTTCTAAAATGAGAATCGCCTGTTATTTTCTTTACTCCCAATACAACTGGGACAAGCAAATTGCATCTTTCACATATCTGTTCATGGCTACAAACCCCACAGCCCCCCAGGGGGGAGAATGAGAACGTGGAGCCGGTCTCCTCCAGTCCACCCACCTCTGAGCCACTCATCCTTTAACATCACAGTTCACCTGACTGAACTATTATCACCCTACTCCCCACCTCGCAACCTTCGCTCTTCTAATTCTGCTCTCCAAACTGTCCCCCAAGCCCGTCTACATTGTATGGGTGACAGGGCCTTCTCCTGTTATGCCCCCAAGCTCAGGAACTCTCTGCCCAAGGATATCAGAAAGTCCCTTCTCTAAACTCCTTCAAATTAAGACTCAAATCCTTCTTCTTTAGAAGAGCCTTTACTTAACTGGTTCCATTCTTCACACCTCTGTTTTTCTTAGTACCGCCACCCACGGTCTCCTCTGTATATTGTAATTG